GTGAGGGAACCTCCGTCCCCCATCCCATGCAACAACCCCACCCCCCTCGGCCTGTCCTCTGTTCCGGCATTAATTTGCTTACAAATTAAGCCCTGGTTTCATCATATGCTATGTCTTAGGGCTGGGCCATATTGTATCGTTCACAATAATATACCAGTAAAAAAAAGCTTGCTCGGGAAAATAAATTATATATTGATATACTAATTTTATGACGTAAATACTTCATTGTTTCCCCTACCATTAAACCTGTGGGGCGCCATGTCCCGTTAACAGAACCAAGCATGCCAAACTACCAAACCAAACTGTGCACCCCCCCCCCCCACGACCCTGTCAGTACTGGCGTAATGCTAATTAGCAGCGCGCAATACTAGCTAGCTTAAAAAACTAAAAACAAACAACGTGCAGCTCTGCTCTCTCCCTCCTCCCCACCCTGCTCTAAACTTCACCACTTGCTCTTGACGAGATTGGATGCTTCCCTCCCTCTCCGCTTTGCTTTGCTGCTCTGTCTGTCTGTGAAATTGCTGTGAGACTCTCTTGCATTTCTTCCGAACCATAATTATGGACTGTTTTGACCAGTTGGTCCCTCAACTCAATTTACAACATTTCTTTGAAGAGAAGACAGGCTTTAGCCGATTTGCCCTGTTGGCACGCACGCAGCTGGATATCTCATCGACCGGAAGACTTGATGATGTGTCTATCTCTGCTGCCATCTGTGGATTTTAAGGACGCATATTTAATTGGATTTTCGATAACTGGTTCCTGCTATTTTGGATTCAGCTGGTACTGGTTTTATCTACAATCAAGGAAGTCGTCGGCAGCAAATTTGGACCCGATCATGCTGCATGCCTTTTTGATGTCTTGGTTCGTGTCTCGTGTTCCCAAACTCAAATGCTTTGGGCTGAATGGATCAGATCTTGGGAATTTTACTCAGTCACGTTCCATCGGTGTGGCTAGGGCTGGATGATATGGCCAAAACTTTTATCACGATATATTTCTTAATTTCGGTCGATAAGGATGTAATTCGATATTGATATAAACAATATAAAAGCCTCAGAAAAACTACAAACTATACAAATAAATTTATGTTCACCTTTTATTTGTATTTAGCCTTCAAAAAAAGTTGAAATCACTGTCAAATAAACATAAAATTCTCAACTTTGTCAATATTAATAGTTTTAATTTTAAACAACAACTTTGAAATTGACAGCATTTAAATCATTGTTAATGAAATAAAATTTTTGGGTGTCGTTATTGATGAGAAGCTGACATGGAAATCTCATGTAAAATACTTAAAAATAACAATCAATTGCATTACTGTATAAAATAAAATAGTTTTTGAATGACAAAGCTTTGTATATATTGTATAATGTAATAATTGTTCCATATTAATCTATTGTAATGAAGTTTGGGGAAAAGCATGCAAAACAATTACAAATCCTATTTTTATTTTTACAAAAAAGAGCTATAAGATTTATTAGTAGTATGAAGTGCTATGGTCACCCAACAAATATATTATTTCATCAATTGAAATTATTAAAATGTTACGATTTGGTTGAATATAGTATTTTACAAGTCGTGTATAAAGCTCAAAAATATTAGCCCCAAATATTCAATTAAAATTTGTAAAAATAACCTTAAGGGAATGTAAATGTTTGTAAAACCTCCATTTAGAACTAGTGTGAAGGAGCTGTGTTGTAGTTCAGGGAATAGGATTATGGAATTGCCTTGATATCACCATAAACATTTCTAAAACAATTTATATGTTTAAAAAGATGATAGTTAAAGTTGTTGGGAAAGTATAGAACCAGGTGAAGGATACCTGAAGTTTTTTTTTCAGTTTGGAGATTGTTCAAGTCAAGGTTGTTGTTTGTTTGTAGTTATTTGTATTTTTTAAATAAGGGGCAGATAATAATTATTTTCTTCTTTCTGCAACCTTTTCATTCAATGTTTTTTTTTCTTTCTTTCTAATGAATTTGTTTTATTTTAAATGAATGAATAAATGATAAAAAAAAAAAAAAAAAACATGCATCGCTGGGGGTGTTTCAGGGACATGTTGGCTCAAACTTTATTGTGCTTCATCTTGTGACTCATCATATTCTGTCAAGTGGAACAAGTTAGATGTTCCAACCGCTAGTTAGAACGACTCTCCGTCCCATTTTAAAGACGAACCACTTCCAAACCAGCAAATTAGTCTTTCCTCTCTTATCAGTGATGTCATCTGCTTTCTCTTTGCTTGTGAAAGCTTGCTCAGTCACATTCTGACGATCATGGCACTCATTTTGAAGAGAAAACTTAACGCGCGTTAGAGATTAGCCTAGCTTAGCCTGCTACCACTAACGCCTGGACTTGAGCTCTGCGTAACATTACGTCACCACGCACTTACGTAGTTGTGTCGCACTTTTTTCTGTCCGGGTTGAAACTCAAGTGGCCGCTTCAATCCGAACAGAAAAAGAAATGCGTCAGTGAAACGCTGTAATCCTATCGAAATATCGAAAATGTGCTTAAAACTCATAACATCGTTATCGAATAAAAGTATATCGCGAGATATATCGATATCGAATTATTGTCTAGCTCTAGGTGTGGCCATGTTATTTTGGACATTTTGGAACCGAGTTGACCAACACAGACTCAAGGTAGATGTCATTAAGTTCTGCCTGTCCCCAAAACAACTGTGTGTTTGTCTAAGTTGGCTCCCTTGGCTGGCCTTGAAGGCCATCTTATCTGAATTCGCCTGGAGAAAATGTGATCTGACGCTCACCACCCCCTCCCTGAGAAATTTCCAACAGATAACCAGATGAAACCAGCTGAATAAACTTTGTGTCATCATTTCAGGACTCTTGGATTCTCATAGATGTTATCCTTGGCCATTCCTCGACATCCCTCGAGAATGTTTATGGATCTCACCGGAGGACATTGACTGATTAGTGACCTCGAGAGCATCTATAAGCGTTGTTGACCGCTCTCGTCTCCGATTGCAGAATGTCTACGTAAATATGTGCTTGTTTGTGCGAGGTGTTTTTTTAATATTAGAGGGGTTTTTTCTCAGGCAAGAAAAAAAAGTCTGATAGGAATTTTTTCGCCTCTAACTCCAACATGTGTCCAGTTAACCACTGTTTTTGTCTGTCCAAACAGGTCTCACTTGTAAATGAGTCTTCGAGGCTCAATGTGATTTATCTGTTTAAATAAAGGTTGAATGAATGAATGAAAAAACTGCCAGTACAAACACGCACAGCCATGGACCAAGAAAAGAGGCAGGTAATCAAAGACAGAGCAGTCAGAGAAATTTAATCATTCCTGCATAGAGGAAGCTGAAACCAACAAGCTTCAGGGTCAGCTGAAGACACCTTGTCACAAGTTTTGGAAGTTACTGTATAGCTCATTTAAAGGCAACATATTTTTTGTTGTATGTTACATTTATGCTCAACAGATCTTAAGCTTAATTTTATTTGGTTATTTTGGGAAACTGCACCTGCACTTTAGTTTTTGTGGTAGATTTTGTGGATCTATATTTTGTAGACTTTTTCAATCTAAATAACAGAAGGATAATTTTTGTTTTTTAGTTTTATACTTTGAGACTGAATACTTTACTAAATAAAGTAATTTCAGTAAAATTAACCCTTCTTGGTTTTTATTTTTATATAATACTGCAAACAACATGTTAATTTTGTCAAATGAATAACTATGATTTCTGGGGGGGGGGTTATATCACGAAATTTATCGTTATAGTCAGAATGCTCTGAAATATCACAATATTATATTTGAGCCATATGCCCACCCCTATTACATCTTTATTTGTTTTATATCTTATGTTATATTTGCTTTTACCAATTAGGCTTTTCTGATTTGGGGTAATTTGGTTATAACTCTTATTCATAATGCACCCAATTCATATTTCCTCATAATGGTTTTCACAGAATATCCATAGGAACTCATTAGTTATTTTTAATCCAATAATTTTCAGGTAACCAGTGTTCTGACATTTTTCATTTCTGTGTTTATGTATCAATTACAAGGAGTTGAACAGACTTTTATTTGGCTGATACCCTTGCTTCATGCCTTAGGAATAAAATGGCAGAAGCTAGTATGAGGGTTCTAGTTCTGAGGAGACATTTTTCTGTAAATGACAGCAACAGGTTTTTTTGGCTCCTCGGGAAGCAGTGGCAGCGATCCAATGAAATGACAGTGATCATATTTTGGTAAGAGCTTAAGTTTTAACTGTTATAACACCACTGTTTTACGTTATCATTTAATCAAAATGTACAGCACAATATAAAAGGTTAATTTAATCTCACACTCATAATCTCACAGTCACATATTTATAGTATGTATCACTAAATATATCAGAAAATTTGGTAACATTGGTCTATTTGAAGAATTTCTTAAACGGAGGATTGTAGAATTTAAGAAAGTTGATCAATTGTACAATCTATTTCATAGCAGGGCCCCAGCAAATATGTAGTGATAAATGGTTTTGAAACGTAGAATGACCTGCAGAGAATGTGCTCAACAGAACTTGTTCAAAAGGTTTGAGAACGTCCCATCTGGGGGGATTCTTATTTGGGTTTGTATGCTGTTCAGTCTCCAACATTGTTTGTACAATAAAACCCCAACTTTGCTGTCAGTCAGAACCAAGGTGTCACAGTTTTATTTAATGATCCCGGTATCGATGTAGTAATTTGATCCTACAGAGCGAGTCTACGATAAACGAACCGCAAAGTAGCAAGGGACTACTGTGTGTATTTACATGTATGTATGTACAACACCAAAAACATCAAGATTAATTTGCATTCCATGTTCATTTTCAGTCCAAAAAAATCTTGCAATACTTATCTCAAAAACTAAACATTTATTCCAATCCCTCAGCGACAGGGGACATTGGTGTACTGCTTGTTTATGGATCCATGTTATATGTAATCTTAAGTGGCTGGAGCAGGCTGTTTTTATTCTTTAAACAAAGTGTAATTTTTTTTTTGTTTTAAGTCAACATTTTAGATCTCTGTATGTCTAGGTATCGTCTGTATCCTGAGGTTCTTTTTCCAGTGCCATATTTAGATTGCCTCGCTGCTGCCAAGCACTTCCTATCTCCAGCAGTTCTGGAGAAGTATTTGATTGACCCTGATCGTGTAGCTGTGGCAGGAGATAGCGCCGGAGGGAATCTGGCAGCTGCAGTAGCTCAGGCGGTACGTGCAGAAACCATCTCAAGTTCAACTAGAAGTTCAGCTGCAAAGTTTTTTGTGTTTCCGTGTTTTCCCAGATTTCTGTTGACGAGAGCATGGCTGTAAAATTCAGTGTCCAAGCTTTGATCTACCCAGCGCTGCAGGCTCTGGATTTCAACACGCCTTCCTACATGCAGAACCAACACATGCCCATTCTCCGCCGGCACACCATGGTGCAGTTCTGGCTTCAGTACCTGGGCGCTGACCTCTCTCTGCTTCCGCAGCTCATAGTGAACAACCACAGCACGTCCCAACACTCAGGCATCCCTCCTGAGCTGAGATCAAGGATAGACTGGAGTGCCCTCCTTCCTCAGAAGTTCAAGAAAAACTACAAGCCCATCATGGTGGAGAAAGGATCACAAGAGATTCTGAAGAAGGTGCCAGGGTTTCTGGATGTGCGGGCGGCACCTCTTTTAGCTGGTCCAGAGGTGTTGGCTAAATGTCCACGTGCATACATCCTAACATGTGAGTTTGATGTACTGAGGGATGATGGGCTGATGTATGCTCAGCGCCTACAGGATGCAGGACTTTCAGTCACTAATGAGCATTATGAGGAGGGCTTTCATGGATCTTTCAGTTTCATATTCTGGCCAACAGACTTTGCTGTTGGAAAGAAATCAGTCAGGGCTTATATTAACTGGCTGCAGAAAAACTTGTAAGGGTTTGTGCTAAGAACTGGGTGCATGTTGGAACTTATCCTCAACACATGAAACGTTGATGTATAAAATAACACATCCTCCAATACATTCATAAAAAACGTTCAGTCTGAGCTCAGGGGCTTATGTACTCGGACTCCCACCCTCAGCACACGCCATCTCAACTTTGCCCAATGTTTAGAATTTACGAAAGTCTCGCCACAATTAATGAATTTTAAAAGACATTAAAATTAAAATGGCTGCACAGTGGCTGAGTTGGTAGAGCTGTTGCCTCTCAGCGAGAAGGTTGCCAATTTAAAAACCGGCTGGACGCCTTTCTGGGTGGAGTTTGCATGTTCTCTTTGTGCATGTATGGATTTCTTCGGGTACTCAAGTTTCCTCCCACAGACCAAAAAACATGCATGTTAATCTGATTGGTAACTCTAAATTGTCTCTAGGTGTGAATGAGAAGGTGAATGGTTGTTTGTCTCGTTTGTCTCTGTGTCCTTGTGATGGACTGGAGACCTGTCCAGGTGTCCCCCGCCCCTCGCACAGTGACTGCTGCATATGGACACCAGTGACCCTCATGACCTGAAAAGAAAGAAGCGGATAAAGATGATGGATGAATTAAACTTTTAATGGCAAGTATTTCAGGCAGTACATAAACAGTTGTCCCTCCTGTATCGCGGGGGATCCGTACCCAGAAGACCCTCGATAAGTGAAAAATCGCTAAGTAGGAATTGTAGTACAAATAGTAAGTAGTAGTTTATATATACAAACCGGATTCCAAAAAAGTTGGGACACTAAACAAATAGTGAATAAAAAATGAATGCAATGATGTGGAGGTGCCAACATCTAATATTTTATTCAGAATAAAACACAAATCACTTATCAAAAGTTTAAACTGAGAGAATGTTTCATTTTAAGGGAAAAATCTGTTGTTTCCAAATTTCATGGCGTCAACAAATCCCAAAAAAGTTGGGACAAGTCAATTTTTACCACTGTGTGGCATCCCCCCTTCTTCTTACAACACTCAACAGATGTCTGGGGACAGAGGAGACCAGTTTCTCCAGTTTAGAAATAGGAATGCTCTCCCATTCATGTCTAATACAGGCCTCTAACTGTTCAATCGTCTTGGGCCTGCTTTGTCGCACCTTCCTCTTTATGATGCACCAAATGTTCTCTATAGGTGAAAGATCTGGACTGCAGGCTGGCCATTTCAGTACCCGGATCCTTCTCCTACGTAGCCATGATGTTGTGATTGCTGCAGAATGTGGTCTGGCATTATCGTGTTGAAAAATGCAGGGTCTTCCCTGAAAGAGATGACATCTAGATGGGAGCAAATGTTGTTCTAGAACCTGAACATAGTTCTCTGCATTAATGGTGCCTTTCCAGACATGCAAGCTGCCCATGCCACAAGCGCTCATGCAACCCCATACCATCAGTGATGCAGGCTTCTGAACGGAGTGTTGATAACAACTTGGGCTATCCTTGTCCTCTCTGGTCCGGATGACATAGCGTCCCAGTGTTCCATAAAGAACTTCAAATTGTGACTCATCTGACCACAGAACAGTCTTCCATTTTGCCACACTCCATTTTAAATGACCCCTGGCCCAGTGCAAACGTCTGAGCTTGTGGAGCTTGCTTAGAAATGGCTTCCTCTTTGCACTGTAGAGTTTCAGCTGGCAACGGCGGATGGCACGGTGGATTGTGTTCACTGACAATACTTTCTGGAAGTATTCATGAGCCCATTCTGTTATTTCCTTGACAGTGGCATTCCTGCTTGAGGTGCAGTGACGTTTAAGGGCCCGGAGATCACGAGCATCCAGTAGAGTTTTACGGCCTTGACCCTTACGCAAAGCGATTGTTCCAGATTCTCTGAATCTTTTGATGATGTTATGCACGGTTGATGATGATAACTTAAAAGTCTTTGCTATTTTATGCTGGGTAACAACATTCTGGTATTGCTGCACTATCTTTCTGCGCAACAATGGTTGAATTGGTGACCCTTACCATCTTGGCTTCTGAGAGACACTGACACTCTGAGAAGCTCTTTTTATACCCAATCATGTTGTCAATTGACCTAATTAGTGTTAATTGGTCTTCCAGCTGTTCGTTATATGCTCAATTTCCTTTTGCCAGCCACTTATTGCTACTTGTCCCAACTTTTTTGGGATTCGTTGACACTGTGAAATTTTGAATCAACGTTTTTTCCTTTAAAATGTTACATTTACTCAAATTAAACTTTTGATCTGTCATCTATGTTATATTACGAATAAAATATTTACATTTGCCATCTCCACATCGTTGCATTCAGTTTTTATTTACAATTTGTTTAGTGTCCCAACTTTTTTGGAATCCGGTTTGTGTGTATATATATATATATATATATATATATATATATATATATATATATATCAGTACATCAGTAGTTTATGTGATAATAAATGTAACAATACAGGTTACTAAAATTTCAAAGAGTTGAATTCAAGGGTAAAACAATCAAATATCTGCATCAAATTTTTGTTACTTTAATTTTAATATCTCTTATACTTCAGAAACTGATGAGACTGTTTGACCGTCCCAATTCACAGCCGCTGACTTCCGGTCTACGTGGTCTTTGAAGGACCCGGCCTACGTCGACCGGGTAGGTCGTGTCCTTCGAAAGATGCGGCCGCTGAATTGGGACACAGCTTGGTTTACTTGTATCGATCAGTTTAATCAGCTTGAACTCAGCTGAGCAAAAAAAAAAATAAATACTACAAACTTTGTGCTAACAGATCTATTATTCAGCTGCTTTTGCTGCAACAAACAGAAGCAATCAATTTCACATTAATTTTTTTAACTGAATTTACCTTTTCTGAATAAAATTTTTAAAAGGTTAGAAGCTCCATCTACATTTTGTGGCAGTTTATTTTAATTTTACACCAAGTTCTTTTGTTATTTTACAATGTTCAAAACTAAACGTTCTGCAGATGTTTGTTTTTTTCACAAGCTTGAGCTGTGCATTTAGCTAATCAATAAATGTTTGGATTCTGATTCCCAAACCAGAAAGTGACCTGAAAAACTGATTAGGACTCTTGTTGTGTCTCGTCAGGAAAGCCTTTCAAGGCTAAATAATTTGGCTTCAAAATGCTTTTTTTTTTCGCCCTTGTGTCTGCAAACAAAATATTTGTGTTGAGTTTTCTCCACAGTTTGAACTGCTGGTTCAACTCTGAACAGAACAAATATGATTTTGGTGACTGCAAAGCACATGTATACATATAACATGAACCCTGTTTAGACTATGTCTTTAGACTATGGGGCGGCTGTGGCTGAGTGGTTAGAGCAGTCGTCCTCCAATGCAAGAGTTGGGGGTTCGAATCCATCAGCAGTCACATGCCGAAGTGTCCATGGGCAAGAGACTCAACCCCTCATCGCCTCCGATATGTGTCCCATTGGTGTATGAATGTGATCTAAAGCTCTGATTAGTCTCTTTAGAATGATTTGTTCAATTAGCTTTGTAGAGATCTAGTATAGAGCTGTATGAATGGGTAAATGAGGCACAGATTGTTGTAAAGAGCTTTGAGTATCTTGAAATAAGATAGAAAGGCGCTATATAAGTACAGTCCATTTACCATTCACTATGTGTATTTCACCTACCCATGAAACTATCCTGACTCCCAAGCATCACACAGTCCTTACTCTGAGCAGTGCATTAACAGCAAACAGGTCAAAAGAACCATGGCTGCCTTTGGCAATGGGCAGAATAAGTTTCTTAAAAACAACTTATTGTTTTTGTTAGAAAGCCACAACCTCAAGCCTCTTTGACCAGTGTTGACTGTTGATCAAAACCCAACCAGTAATTTCCCCTGTTCTTGATCCAGACAGTTCTGGGAGGTCCAAGGTCTGCTTCCACCTACTGTACTTGACTCGGACCTGAAAAAGCGTGCAACCCTCGCAGGCCCTCTAGGATTTTAAACTGTATAGACCTGGTCAGCCAAATATTACTAGCTATCCAAACTGCTAAACAGAATGAATGCAGAAACTCCACAGACTAAGGGATGACATCTTGTAGAATTTACTGACATCTATTTTTTTGTGAAACTAACAAGATAAGCATAGAAATACATATAAGTATATCATTGCTGCAATAACAATGTCAAAATCACCACATACACCATTTTCATACACAGACAGGTGTTCTTTCAGCTAATTTAGTAAGAAACGGCTTCAAATGTGAAAATGCATAATTTTTCTCCAAATTAATGTCAGCGGTCGGTAACTACTCTCATGTGATTAATTCAACTTATAATACTCAGATGATACTTTAGCAGGCAAGAAAACAACAGGCAGGGCTGAGGAGCTGCCATGTAGCTGCAACTGTGCTGTGCTTTTACATCTACTGATTTTTTGGTAACTAACCAAGAATGACCACTAGATGGCATAGTTCAACAAAAAAAACAAGACCACAGCAAAACAGTGAACATAGTATAAACTGTGCTCTGCCTCGGTGGGAAGAGGTCAGGAAGCTGTCGACTTGTCGATAGGTTGGACTGATGAACACCCAGACAACCCTCCCTCCTGTCGAAGCAGTTGACACGGAAGGACCCTGCACATTCCTCTGACTCCCCTTCAGAGGGCTTTTAGCAGCAGACATGTGTGTGTGTGGGGGGGGTCACCTTGACCTTTAGATTGCCTCTTCACGTGTCTTATGGTACCAAATAAAGAACCCAGAAGAAAAAAATGAAAAATAACTTACCAGAACTCAGGAATCACCCAGGAGCTGCTGTTTCAGTTTTGTATGCCCAGGCAAAAATTGTATTAAAAGTGAAAGGTATAAATTTTTTTAAAAAAAAGGTGTATACTTAAAAACTTACATTCAGTGTAGGCTATATAAAAATCAAAAGTGTAACATAGTCTACAACTACGTCCTCGCATAACTATTACCTCTGTGTCTCTTAACACCTTAAAAATTTTAAAAGACAAAAAAGAAGAAATGCATCTACTATAAATGCTGGTCCTCTAACACCAACACCCCCCCCCCCCCCCCCCAACCAAAATGACCCAAGGGCAACAGGAGGTAATCTGCAGTCCAAGCTCAAAAGCAACAAGCTCCTTCTTTCGGCTTTCCCTCTTCAGAGGTCGCCACAGCAAGTCATCCTCCTCCATCTCACTCTGTCCTCTGCATCCTCTATCTTCACTCCAACTACCTCCTTGTCCTCTCTAACTGCATTCATAGATCTTCTCTGACTGTCTTTTTCCTAGCAGCTGCATTTCTAACATCCTTCTA